AGCCACAGCAGCCCCTGTCCTCGCATCTCAAGGGTGCCACCTCACCTGTGTGAGCACATGTAAGAGCCACCTAACACTTGACACCCAGCATCAGGCATCTCTCTTTCCCTTTGTGACAACCCCGGTAGAGGGAAGCAGCCCTCTTGGCCCTTAGCTTGCCCCTGGGAGGCTGCGGTAGCTTCCGGTGGGCTGCAGAGACCCAGCTGCAGCAAAGGCTGTCTCGCCTGGATCTCGGCCCTGAGAGTCTGGGGCTCCCAGCAGCCTGCCTGCTCCTTGGGCCAGTCGGGGTGGCACAGCTCAGCTTCAGTTTCAGAGCAAGACAGGCCTGGGAGTGTGTTCCAGTCCCGCCACTCCTGGCTCTGTGACTTGGGTGGACATCTCGCCCTCTGGTGCTCTCCCCGACGACAAATGGAGATATAATTAGGCCATCCCATGGGGCATCAGAACCGGCTGGCCAAGCCTGTGTGCAGGCAGTGCTTGGCATTGGCCTCACCAGGGCCAGTTCCCAGGACTCGACGCGGCTGCCCCATCATCTTGTTCTCCAGCTGTGTCTCCTGCTGGCCAAGCCAGCGCTGTGTTGGGTGCCAGCTACTTCTCAGTGCCTTCATGCCCCTTATCTTCTGAGACTCCACAGACATCCCTTTCAGAGAGGAAGAGGTCACTGTGATCACTTGTCACACTCTTGGCAGGCAAGGCTCCGAACCTGGGTCTCACTGTAAGCCGTTCCCTCTGTGATTCCATCCCCAGCACATGCTTTTGAACACGCACACACCCCGCCCTCCCCTCCTGGTAACCGCTTCAGCTCCAGCCCTGGCTCCAGTTGGAGCAGAACATTGGACTCAGGGCACACACCCAAGGCCTGCCCCTTGAATGAGTGCACTTGCACAACTTGCCTTTACCGTGCCAGCGAGTGCCAGCCTCCCGAGTGTTTGGTTGTTCAGCATATGCTTTGGGGGCCTGTCCCCAAGTTAGTGGAGAGCAGGAGCTGCCTCCTGGGGGGCAGAAACTAGTGGGAGGCTGCGGGGCTGTGTGAGCACCTTCGGGTCTGCAGAGTGCCCCCCGGCAGGCCCTTGAGCTGCTGGTGCACACACGAGGGCCAGCGTACCCCAGGCCAGCTCCTAGCTGCAGGCTGCTTGCCCTGTGACCTTGGGCAAGCCATTGAGCCTCTGCTCTGAAGTGGAAATGAGGAGTACTCACTGCACGGAAGTGTTCCCAAAATTGACATGCGTGTTTGCTCGGGGTGGTGCCTGGCATGGCACAGGTGCCATACAAATAAATGCCATCTCTGCATCTCTGCTGTGCCTGTGCTGCTGTCTCTATCTTCAGTTTTTCTCTCATTATTTTACTTCTTAGTTTGAATATATTCAGCCTCATTTGTAAGTGACAGCAAGTGTGGAGTTTTGTTTTGATGTGCCAGTCTCTGCTTTTTTTTTTTGGTTCTGGGGTTGACCCAGGGGAGCTCTACCTCTGAACCGCACCCCACCCCTTTTATTTTGAGACAGGGTCTTGCTGCATGCCATCCTGCTGTCTTAGTCTCCCAAGTCACTGGGATCACAGGTGCGCCCCGCAGCGCCTACCCAGCTGCCAGTTCGTTCTTAATCTAGGCATAAATGCTCATAAATAAATATTAATCTCATCATTCCCAAGCCACCGAAAACACTGCCCCATCTGTCCACTGGTGATGTGTCACGCCTTGAGACCTGCTGAGGACACTGTCAAGGGTGGGGGGTGCTGGCTGCCAGAGCGTGGGCTGCAGTGGGCCAGCTCTGAGCCCTGACCTGTTTTTCATGGGGTCTGTCCCTGACCTGAAAGTGTGTCTCCGTCTTAGAGAAAATTGACAAGAAGCAGTTGACGTTCTTTTTTTTTTTTTTTGAGCAGTGGTCATTCTTGTGTCTGAGAGTTACCAAGTTGCTCTGGGGCCTCCTTTCCAACCTCCTCTGAGGATTCATAGTCCTTTCCACCCCTCAGCTCAGTTTCCCTTCCTGAAAGGGAGGAGCCACAAGTGCTCTCCCTGGGCCCAGGCTCTGGGAGTGACAGTGATTCTTGTGCGATTGAACCTGGTTTTTTGAAATAGGGACACACTGAATTGCCCAGTATTGCCTCTTGAATAGTTGCCGTTTCAGGCAAGTGCCGGCATACCTGGCCACAAGGGTTTTGATATCTACCCTAAGACCCAGTGCCAGGGAGATAGTGGTGACCAAGACAGTCTGGGCCTCTCCTCCCCAAAGAGTGACACCCCAGTGGACAGACCTGGGATCCTGGATCTCAGGGGACTGAAGGAGCCAGATGGGGAGCTGAGGCAGCCTAAGCTACAGGTGGGCCTTCCTGGAGGAGGGGCCATTGGACCTACACACCTAAAGGACCTGTAGCAGTTCCGGAGTTTGTTTATGAGTCTTACTCCTGTAGACCCTGCAGGAGTGGAGACGTGCTAGTGAGGCCATATTAGTCCATCCAGATAGCCCATCTGATTTTACCAAACCAGCCCTGGGCTGGGGGGCCTTTTTTTTTTTTTAAGTGGTGTCAGGGATTGAACCTGGGGCCTCATACATGCAAAGCAAGCATTCTGCTACTGAGCTGCATCTTTTTTTTTTTAAGATGTTGATAGGTCTTTATTTATTTGTTTATTTGTTTATTTATTTATATGTGGTGGTGAGAGTCAAACCTAGTGCCTCACACATGCCAGACAGGTACGCTACTGCTCAGCCCTAGCCCATGCATGTCCTTCTTAATTTATTTTTATTTTTCCAACTCTGCCCTCAAACTTGGAATCCTGTCCCAGCCCCCCCAAGTAGCTGGATTTACAGGTGTGTGCCACTGAACCTGGAGACTTGGAGGCCCTTTAAAGCAAGTCTGTCTACGGTCTTGATTCTCACCCTGGTGTCCACTAAATCCTGTGGCCCCTACTTCAATCTTTAAAAGATAAAATATCAAATGTGATTACAAAGGATGCAAGTTAGCTCAGCTCACCTCTTAAAATTGCATCTAGGCCTGGAATGGCAGCACACTCCTGTAATCCCAGCAACTCGGGAGGCTGAGGCAGGAGAATCGCAAGTGCCAGGCCAGCCTTAGGAAGTTAGCAAGACCCTGTCTTAGAATTTAAAAAAAAGGGTTGGGATATAGCTCAGTGGTAAAGATCCCCTAGGTTCAATCTCCAACACCGGAGAGAGAAGTTGTTCTCTAGTACTTACGCTTTTCCTCATGGACACACACAAAGATGGTTGGTAGCAGCAGCTCTAATGGCTTTTGTTTTCAGAGCAGTTATGTGCATTCAAAATCTGCAGTGACTTATGTACAAACATCTGTCATTTCTTTTAATGACAAGACGGCAGTATCTGTCAAGCACTATTCATTTTCTTTCCTGTATTGACCTATGTTAATAAGAAGGTAGAGGAAAATGCTCCATTTCAGTTTAGTGAAAATAAAGAGGTCATTTCTCGGGCTGGGGCTGTAGCTTAGTGGCAGAGGGCTTGCCTAGCATGCGTGAGGCACTGGGTTCGATCCTCAGCACCACATAAAAATTCTACAACTACAAAAAAGGGGGGTCATTTTCCCACCTCAAGTTCAAGGCCACCAGTTGGTCAAGACCAAGGCTGGAGTGGCTGCTGAGTCCAGAGTGCTGCCCTCCCAGCAGGGCCGGTTTCTGGGCCACAAGCACGTGGGCCTTTGTCAGAGAACTGCCCCACAGACTGTAGGCGCGGCAGCCAGCACCTAGGAAGCTTCTGGTCACCTGCAGCTGCTTCCGGCTCCAGCCCATCTGACGCCGCCTCTCGCCCACCCCACACCAACAGCTCAGCACCCCAGCGCCACCATAGACTACGGCAAGGGTTCTGGGCCAAGCGCTAGACTCGCCTTGTCCAGCTGCCTGGCCCCAGGGAGGTGACTTCTCACCTTGCATTATGGTTTCCTCCCCCAGAATATGGAGTAGTGCTGCGTGAGACCAGGAGTGCTGGCCCTGGTCTAGAGGGTGGACAGAGGGGGGGACCTCATGGAGATGGCAACTGGGAGCTCCCTGGGGTCCAGGAGCCAGAGCAGAGGGCAGCAGGGTGGGGGGTGGCACAAGGAAGCCTGCTGAGAGCCCTCTTCTGGCCTATTCCCCACCTGCCTGTCACCTGTGTGCCCACTCTGCTCCGCCACCTGAGATCTCCAGCGAGGCCTGGCCGTCTCCATCCCCTGCTCATAGCCTTTCCTTCCCACTCTCCTTGGTCACCCAATAACACACCCCAGCGGCCAGACACTGAGGACAAATACCAGCCGATGGATGTGGCCGCGGCAGGGCAGCCGTGATGCCCCTTGAGCAGGAGCCAGGAACGGGCTCAGCGGGAAGCCGGCTGAGAAAGGCCACGCAGTGTTTGATTTCATTTTTATGAAACATCCAGAAAAGGCCAGTCTGGGCCTATGGAAAGGACGCGGTGGGCTTCCCGGAGCGGGAACGTGCAGCCGTGCGTGGGGTTTGGCTCAGCCCGTAACGTGCTGCCGGGGCCACATGGCCTTCGCCCCTCGAGCTGTGGCTGTGCCAGGTGTTGTGGGAAGGGGAGTCCGTGAGGCACCAGGCGTTGTGTTTTGGAGCCGAGTTCAAGTCCAGCTCTGCTGTGTAGTTTTACGGGAGGCTCTTGTCTCTGAGCTTGGTTTCCCTCCTCATAGGGTGGAAATGAACCTTCCTCCCTCTGTCAGAAAGCAGCAGTGAATATCTGCTCTGAACCTGGCCCTGTGTTGAGCAGTGTTGGGGACATGGTGGTGACCTAGATGGCACAGCCCTGTCCTCTGGGGCTCTCAGTGGAGGGGGGAGACAGCCAGTCAGAGAGGAGTAGGTGCCCAGAAGCCCAGCACTAAGCCCAGTGCAGGCAGCACTGACTTGTTTTGGGGGTGTCCTGCAGTGGCCCTGCAGGGCCTTGTTTTAGGGTTGTCCTGCAGTGGCCCTGAAGGGCCTGGAGGGAAGGCTGGGCTTGGGTGCTGTGGGTGGGGCAGGGCAAGGGAGTCACAGGTCGCTCCTCTGCCTGCAGCCCAGAACGTGACAGTGGACGAGGTGATCGGCGCCTACAGGCAGGCCTGCCAGAAGCTGAACTGCAGACAGGTCCCCAAGCTCCTCAGGCAGCTGCAGGTACGGAGGGGTTGCTCCCTGGGGTCCCTGGCTCTCCCAGCTGGCCACCCACCCAGGGCCTGTGAGTGGAACTTTGGAAATCCTCTTCGGTTGTAAAGTTGACCAGGCTCTCCTGGGTGCCCCAGAAGCCTGGGACTGATTCAGGGGAGAAATTCCAGCATTTGTCAGCCCCCAGAGAAATTGTGGTCCCCAGGGAAAGGCCATGTATGCAATCCTCGTATATCCACTGATTTTTAAAAAAAATTAAAATGCAGATATAAAAGGCCAAGTCCACTTCTCATTTCTTGCCAAGTCTCCGCAGGAGGCCCCGCTATCACAGTCCTCTGGCCCGTTCTGCACGTATGTAAGAGACTTGGTTATTGGTTCAGAAGGACACAGGCTCAGGGGACTGGTCTGTGTCTATGCAGATGGGGTCTCCCGGGCACCCTCCTGGCTCACCCAGCCTGGCCACATTGCTAAAGCCCTGCCTTCTGCCCTCTCCCTGGATGAGTCCCTCCAGGGTTTCCAAGGTCACCTGTTTCTAGGCTGCTGCTCCCACAGCCAGCTCTTCGGAGCGCAGCCTCTGTGTGTCGGTGGGGAGGTTCTGTAGGAATTCCAGAAATGGGTGCTGCTCAGCCCAGGGGAAGAGGGCCACGCGGCCGGCGTGGCGGCGTGGCTGCAGGGCGTAGGGGCAGCCTGCTGATGTTGGCAAGGCAGGCCTTAGCCTCTCACTCCTGGACGTCCTCACGCTGCCTGTTCCTTGAGTGACAGGCGGGAAGCCAGAAAACAGAACCTGTGCTTGTGGGGACATGGAGAGCTCAGCCAGTGGGGGCTGGAAGGACGCCCTGTCTGCCGCCCTCCTGGGCTCCTGCCTCACCCCGTGTATGGTCTTCCCTCAGCCTGGACCCCACATGAGATGCCCGGGGCCGCTCCCCCAACTGGTGGAGAGGGGCTGGGGCCAGGCCAGGCCAGTCCTCAGGGACCCCCCACCCCACAGAGCTCCTCCTACTCTCAGGGGCGCATACCCCAGTTCCAGCCCTGGGGCATTCTGGGGGACTTTGTTCAGCCACCCTCCCCCAGCCCTGCCCTGGCACACTGCCTCACCCCGGGACAGCAGAGCTGATGAATCTCCAGCCGCCCCACTGTTGGCCCAGGCTGTCTTCTTGGGGGTCTTGGGGGTCTTTCCGCTCTGACCAGAGCCCACTCTGCTCTCTTAGGAGTTCAAGGACCTCGAGCAGCGCATCGACTGCCTGGACCTGAAAGGTGTGTGTGGAGGCTGGGAGCCGCCGGTGGGGCCTACGAGGTGGCGCGTGGTCTCCTACTCAGGGCCGCTGCCTTCTTCCAGGGGAGAAGCTTGACTACAAGACCTGTGAGGCCCTGGAAGAAGTCTTCAAGAGGCTGCAGTTCAAGGTCGTGGACCTGGAGCAGACCAACCTGGATGAAGACGTGAGCAGTCCCCCCCTGCCCCCCCCCACAGCTCCCTCGGTTCCCAGGCCCCTTTGAGGCCTCTGCGCAGACCCAGCATGAGATGGCACACTAGACCAAGGCCAGGGCTGGGGCAGGAGCAGGGCCTCTTGAAGAACAAGAAGGAGACATCAGTGTGACTCAGTGGGCAGGGGCATGATGGGAAGCTTGCAGAGCTGGCGAGAGCAGTTCCATGTCCTCTGGTACCTTTTGAGAAGTTTGTCCTGGAGGTCGCAGTGTGCAGGGCTGGGATCATTTGGAAAACTTCTTCCCACAAGGGCCAGACTAGGAAGTCCCCAGACCAAGGAGCTGAGGGACACGGTGACCCTGCGGAGGGATGCTGTGGGGAGGCAAGCTGCAAAACCAAGGCCAAGGCCTGTCCTGGTCACCCAGCACATGAGTCAGGATTCTCAGTGACAGAAAACAGGCTGACTCCAGCAGAAAAGAGAAGGGGCAGCGCTCGAGCCAGAGGGGCAGCCTGCAGCCTGCTCTGCACACGGCCGGCTCAGAAGTGGGTGCCCTTGGTGGACACCATGTCTGTCCTTCTCACCGGAGGCTCATCCCTGCCTAGAACCTCTCCTGTCACTGACAGATCCTGTGGTAAGGCTCACTTGCCTCCCCGGGGCCACCTCTCCCTAAAGCCAAGGCCCCGTCTCTGCCTGCAGGGTGCCTCTGCCCTCTTCGACATGATCGAGTACTACGAGTCGGCGACCCATCTCAACATCTCCTTCAACAAGCACATCGGCACCCGGGGCTGGCAGGCTGCCGCCCACATGATGCGTAAGGTGGGTGCCTCCTGCCCAGCCACTTCAGGGTGGAGGACATGCAGACACAGAAGGCAGTCCCTCTGGCCCTGAGTCTGTGAGCCCTTAGGGCCTAGGCCAGTAGGAAACAGTGCCCAGAGGCACCCTGCAGCCAGGTCCACCCTCCTCCCCCTCTCCCACCATCTTCACTTCTTCCTGATCTAATGCCTGAGCTGTGACTGGTCACCAACCCCAGTTCAGTCATGTGTGGGAAGCTGGGCCCAGAGAGGGAGGGCACGGGACTGTCCAGGATGCTCCACCACAGGGATCTGGGAGTGTGCCCGCGGGACCCCAGGCTGAGCTTTCCCCCGCCAGCTGTGCAACAACCAGATGGCAGCTGTGCCTTGCCGCTCACTGAGGTGGGGGAGGCTGACCCTGCCCCACCCCCAGACGAGCTGCCTGCAGTACCTGGACGCCCGCAGCACGCCCCTGCTGGACCACTCGGCGCCCTTCGTGGCGCGTGCCCTGCGCATCCGCAGCAGCCTCGCAGTGCTGCACCTGGAGAACGCCAGCCTTTCGGGGCGGCCCCTCATGCTGCTCGGTGAGCCTAGGCCCCAGGAGGACAAGTGGGGACCTCAGCCTGCTGCTGAGCGGGAACTGTTAGTGGGGTCTCTTGGGCAGGGCCCCCCCCAGGAGGTGGCCTGGCCAGTCACCTACCCCACACCCGCTCCCCCAGCCACAGCCCTGAAGATGAACGTGAACCTGCGGGAGCTGTACCTGGCGGACAACAAGCTCAATGGCCTGCAGGACTCTGCACAGCTGGGCAACCTGCTCAAGTTCAACTGCTCCCTGCAGATCTTGGACCTCCGCAACAACCACGTGCTGGACTCAGGTGTGTGGGGGTCACCCAGCACCTGTTCTGTACCCCACCCTGGGCTCGTGGTGCTGGGGGCATGGATGTGGCTGAGGGAGCCCAGAGGGTTGTCTGACCCAGCGTGGAGTGCAGAGGGCATCTGGAGGGCAGGACAGCTCAGCGCACACCTGGGGGCATGGTGAGGCGTGGGGTGAGCCGCTGAAGCAGTGATCTGCAGAGGGCATGAGGGAGGCGAGCCACCCAGGTCCACTGGAGGCTGGGAGATGGCACGAGGAGGACCCGCCACAGAGGAGGCTGCTGGGCAGTGATCGGGACGCTGTACACCGAGCCGAGCTGGCCTCTTCTACAACCTTGGAAAAGGGGCAGAGGGACTTGCCAGTGCAGTGGCCTGCAGTGGAAGGAGCTGAGGGGTTTGGGGACCACGGTGCGCTCCCTGGGGTGAAGGCGTGTGGTATTGGTGACCTTGGCTCCCCTCTGCCAACAACTGGGAGGAGAGGAAGAGGTACCATGAGCAGAGGGGCCCTGGAGGAGGAGGGGCTGCCACATGGCACGATGGAGCAGTGTCCCCAGGCGCCTGTCAAGAGGGATGGGGGGCAGTGGGGGACCAGAGGCCAGCGTCCGCACTGCATGGCAGGCCACACCCCAGCAGTGCTCCTGCTGTTCTGGCTTTCAGCTCAGAGCTGGAGACGAGGCAGAGAGGAGGCACAGGAGCCAAGTGCCCAGGCTGCAGTTCGTGACTGGCTCCTGAGCTGGGGATGTTCTCATTTGAGCAAAGACCAGAAGCAGCTGGTGGGGGACATGGATCGAGGAGCTGACTGCCAGGCCAAGGGAGGCCACAAGGCCAGAGCCTGTGGGGCCAGGCAGGCAGGATCCAAGCAGAGGGTCCCACGCACGTGTCCCTGGAATGTGCAGGGGCCACAGACAGGGTTCTGACTCAAGCCTCCCCCAGGTCTGGCCTACATCTGCGAGGGCCTCAAGGAGCAGAGGAAGGGCCTGGTGACCCTGGTGCTGTGGAACAACCAGCTCACGCACACCGGCATGGCCTTCTTGGGCATGACGCTGGTGAGTGGGCCCGGGAAACTGGAGGGGTATATTGGTCACTGCCACCGTCGTCTCCCAGCCGGGCTGCTGTGGACTTGCTCTTCCTGCAGGCGTGGGCCCTGTTTTGCCAGCAGCCTGCGGGCCCCGTGCCACTCTCCTCAGTTGCCCTCTTCACCTGGTGTGATGGGGTGGGGGGGTGTGCTTTGCACATGCTGCAGACGTTTTGCTTAAGCGTTGTATTTTTGGAAGTCTTCAGCGAGGTTTCCGTCTTGAGTTATGTACCATGCATGGCCAGCCGAGTGGGCACTAGGGCTCTGAAGGCAAGCACTGGCTGCCCAGTGCTGGGGTCAGCTGCCCCCCTCCCCCCCGCCAGAAGGCTGTCCTCAGACCTAAGGACACTCGAGGGCCAGTCCAGCCTCACCATGGAGCGGGCCAGGCTGTTGAGGGGTGGGGACCAGTGGGATGCTGGGAGTGTTAGAATGGACAGCCATAGCGCTGAGGGAGATTTCGCGTGCACAGCGGCGCAACTGCTCCAGGAGTGAGCAGATCAGGGCGCCAGTGCTCTGCCCCGTGTTCCTGGGCTCCGGTCTTTCTCCGGCATCTTTAATGACCCGTCCTCTGGGCCTCGGCTCACCACCCCTGCCCTCCCGCAGCCACACACACAGAGCCTGGAGACGCTGAACCTGGGCCACAACCCCATCGGCAACGAGGGTGTGCGCAACCTCAAAAATGGGCTCATCAGCAACCGCAGCGTGCTGCGCCTCGGCCTGGCCTCCACCAAGCTCACCTGCGAGGGTAGGGTGCGGGGCGGGGCCAGTGGGCTCGGCAGGGCGGCCAGCGGGCGTGGGGCCCACGGCCAGCCCTGCGGTCCCCCCCCAGGCGCGGTGGCGGTAGCAGAGTTCATCGCCGAGAGCCCCCGCCTCCTGAGACTGGACCTGCGGGAGAACGAGATCAAGACGGGCGGGCTCATGGCACTGTCGTTGGCCCTCAAGGTGAACCACTCACTGCTGCGCCTGGACCTTGACCGAGAGCCCAAGAAGGAAGCGGTGAGTGGGGCTCCACCTGCTGCCCGTGGGGACGGGGAGGCCACTGTGGGTGTGGGCAGCGGGCAGCCTAGAGCCGAGCCCTAGCCAGGCCCCACGCCACAGGTGAAGAGCTTCATGGAGACGCAGAAGGCGCTGCTGGCCGAGATCCAGAGCGGCTGCGGGCGCAACTTCGAGCTGGCGCGAGAGCAGGAAAAGGAGCAGCAGCTGCAGCCGTCGGCCTCCATGCCCGAGATCACCGTCACCGGGCCCCAGCCCCTTGAGGAGCCCGGAGACACGCCTGCTGCCGGGGCACAGAATGGGGCCCTGAGCACCGGACCCAGCCCAGACTCGGACTCAGACTCCGCCTCTGACGGGGAGGAGGAGGACAGGCAGAGGGAGGAGGCCAGCGGTGGCCAGAGGCCCGAGGCCCCCTGCCCTGCTCTGGTGCCCCCCACGGACTCCTTGGGCCCTGGGGACAGGAGCCCCCCAAGCAGCCCCTCCTCCCCCACTGAGCAACGTATTTCTGTGACCAGCCCAGGCCGGGGTCACAAGGTGTTTGTGGTGACCCGGGTGGAGAGTCCACCGGAAAGGGCAGAGCCTCCTGCTCCCCCAACCTTGGTCTCCCTGCCCTCCTCACCTCCACCTTCCCCACCTGCCTCACCGACCCTACCACCAGCTGAGGCCACTGGCACCCAGGACCCAGGGTCGTCTGATCCTCAGCCTCAGCTGGAGCTGCCTCAGCCAGGGCCACCACTGCCCAACGGCCTGAAGCCTGAGTTTGCCCTCGCACTGCCCCCAGAGCCACCCCCGGGGCCTGAGGCCAAGGGGGGCAGCTGCAGCCTGGAACATGGTGAGAGGGGCTCAGGGGCAGGGTGACCAGGGGCCCCAGGGTACCGAGCGTGACCCCAGGCCAGCACCTGCCTTGGTGGGCCTATGTCCCCTTCTTTAAAATGGCCCAGCCAGGGCAGGACGAGTGGGTTTTGTTTGGTCCGTGGCTCTTGTCCTGTGTCCCTGGGGTCCTGGGAGCTCTTCCCAGGGTGGGAGCATGTGAGGTCTGTGGCCTTCGGTGCACCTGCTGGCCCTGGGTCTGGCTGAGCAGGGCAGGGCCGGGCCAGGCCAGCGCACCCCCCACGCCCACCTGACACGCTGCCGCCCACAGAGCTGCGCCGCCCCCAGGACGAGAAGAAGCTGGAGGAGATGCTTCTGGAGGCCAGTCAGGAGGCCACACAGGAGACACTGTGACACTGTAGGTGGGCGAGGACCTCTGGGAGCTGGGGAGGGCGACGGAGCCCTGCCCTGACTGCCCCGTCTCTGCTCCCCCAGTTCCTTTTTCCCGTTGGGTCTTCGATGAGCCGAGACCAGAGCCGTGAGAGCCTGCCCACCCCACCCGGCCTTCCCGAGACCAGGACCTGGGTGGGCACCCGAGGCCCCGCCCCGGCAACACTACCAGTGGTGCAGGAGCCGCGGAGGTGGCTCCCACCTGACTTCAGCACTTCTATTTATATGTCTGCCACTCAGAGACTCGGGGCTGGGGTGGATGGGAAGAGGAGGAGGAGGTCTCCAGGGACATCAGGCCACAAGGCCACTCAGGAGTGTCCACTTGGCCAGGCCTGCCCTATTAAGGGCAGGAGTTCAGGGGTGGTGGGATGGCCCCCGTTGGTCCAGAACAGAACCAAGCGGCGGCACGGGAGGGGCGGTGAGCCGAGGTGATGGTGGTGGAGATTCCTAGAAGCCCCAGGTGGGGTGTGGGTGGGGCTGGGTGCAGAGGGTCAGAGCTTTCTCTTTCTCAAGTGCAATAAATCTATCAGGGAGCTGGGGCAGCGGCAGCATGGGTTCTGGGGACCTGCTGCCCAAGCCACTTGAGGCTGCGCCCTGGGAGGCACTACAAGCGTGGGCGGGTGGCGGGTGCGGGCAAGGCGGGTGGGGCTGGGAAGGCCCCTCCTGTCGGTGCAGCTCTGTTCACACCTTTTCTAATAAACTGGGGCTGGGTTCACTGTTCGCCCCTGGCTTGACTGTGCGCCCCCTGCTGGGGTGAGCAGGGCTCCTGGTTACCCAGCAGCTGCTGGGTCAGGTGTCAGGGGTCCCCACTGAGGAAAACCAGGGGGCTGACAGGCCACAGCATGCCTTCCCACTCCACCCACCCCTTCCTGTGTGTTCCACGGGGGGCGCAGCGCAGCCCGCCCTGTCCAGCTAGGTGGTGTGCACCTTTCCTTTGGGGGAACAAGCCCCGAGTAGCCACCAGCTCTAGGTCTAGTCAGGGTGCTGCCTAAGGGGCTTGGGTGCAGAAGCCTCTGCCTGGTCACCAGTGGCTCAGAGAGCCTGCTCCTGTCACCTGCAGTGGGAAGGGCCTTGGCCACCTACCCTGTCCCCTCCCCTGCAGAGTGTGGGGTCCCGCTCCTGCATAGCCTGGGAGTCCTCTGCACTCTGGCTCCTGGGTGTCTGAGAACAGCATCTTTCCCCTTTAAACCACTGTGGGTTTGTGCTTGTTGCTGGAGTGTCCTCCCTGCTCCCTAGGACAATTGCGGGGCTCCCATTTGGGCTCAGGGAAACCATACACAACAGCTGCCACCAGTTTGTGTCTCTCATCTGTGCCTCAATAGCTGGGGATCAGTGGCACAGCCAGCCTGTCTCCACTCCTGAGTTCTGAACCTTGTCATCCTTTCTGCTGTGGCCGTTTGGCGGGTGGGGAGAGAAAGAGGGGCCCCTCCAGGACGCCCTGGCTTCAGCACCTTCTGGGTGAGCCCACAGATTTAGGGGTTTGTCCCCAGGTGCTGAGAAGCAGGTCTTGCCTGGCTGGTCCAATGTCCCCCAGTCCACCTAGTGCCCGAGAATCCCCACCTCTCGGGGCCATGGCCCTCCCCTTAGGCCACTGCCTCCATCTCTAGGCCAGACGGGTTCGGCTCATCTGCCCCTGTGCCACCTGTGAGGGGCTAGGATCCTCTTCCTAGCCTTGTCCCTGCCCTTCCTTGCAATAACTTTGCTTGAGGTGAGGATGTGACCTTATCTGGAAATAGAACTTACCCCGTAATTGTGTTTCAGATAGGCTCACTAGGGTGGCCCTAAACCAGTGTGACTTAAAGGGGGAATCGGGGCTGCATGTGGCTCAGTAGTAGAGCACCTGTCTGCTGCTCCAAGCCCTGGGCTCCACCCCCAAGGCTGCTTAAAAACAAAAGCCTGGAGGTGCTCGCCTGTGATCCTGGGGAGGGGGAGGCCAAGCCAGGAGGGTTGCAGATTTGAGGCCAGCCTGGGCAATTTAGGAAGACCCTCCCTCAAAAAATAAGAATGGCTGGGAATGTAGTCACAGGTAGAGTGACCTGGGTTCAGTCCCCTGAACCAGAAAAGTAATAAAAGAATTTGGACACAAACACGGCCAACAGGGAGGACAGCATGTGGGCAGGAGGAGCCATGGAAGAGGCACGGGAGGATTCCTTCTCGATCTCAGCCTCTGTACCTGTGAGACGATAATGTCCATGGGACTTTGTTATAGCAGCCCCAGGAAGTGAATGTCCCCAATTTTATAGGGCTCTTGATTTTCAGGAATCCCGAATCGTGGACTGGAGGCAGAGGGGATTCCCTTGGCCAAGTGCTTTCTCCCCCTTGCCCTCAGCCACCTACAGGATGCCCCACTGGGCCTGTCGAGGGAGTCTTTTCTAACCCTACACCAAAGTTTTGTTTTTTAGTGGTCAATGGACCTTTATTTTATTTATTTGTATGCGGTGCTGAGAGTCGAACTCGGTGCCTCACACATGCCAGGCAGGGACCCCACCACTGAGCCACAACCCCAGCCCTATCTTAAAGACCAAATCTTAGGACCTTGATGGCTGTGACCTTTGTATTTACTGTCAGTTTGTGAGGGTTTAGAACCAGGCCACTGTTCACCAAGTGACTCGTGGATGTGGCCCTCCCATGCACTTGTGAGATCTGTTGTCCCCTGGGGCTTCAGGCATCCCTTCCTTGGGTCAGATGGCTTACCCACTTCACTCTGCTGCGGCAGGACAGGCACCTGCGTCGCTTGTGCACCCTTACTGTGGTGACAGCCCCTTGGCCTTACCTGTTGCCGGTGCCCACGAAAGTTCCACACACTAGAGGGCAGTGTGAATGTTGGGTGCAGAGCCATCACCACCACTCTGACATCCTGTTGTGGCACTCCTGGCCAAGGTCTTAAGATAAATGAACAATCTGGCCACTGCTGGGTGCCCATGATCCTGACTACAGCTTCTGACGGGCTGGGTCTTGGTTCTCACAGCCCCCCAGCCTGGGACCCGCTTCCTACAGCTTCGGGCTCAGCCGTGGGAAGGGAGATGGGAGGGACAACCGGAGGGGGGGTCACGAGGTCCTGTCTTCCCAGATGACTTTGTCCTTCGACAGGCTCTCCCCTACTGTCCTCACTCAGCTTAGCCACACCTGGGCCGAGACCACGTCTCTGTGGCGGTCATGGGGCTCTGACCCGTGCCCACCCCTGCGGCAGTGGCTGTGGTTAGGAGAGGGAGCCAAGGCGTGTGAGGCCAGCACCCTCCCTGCAACCCAGGCCCGGTGGCCAGAGGATAGGCACCTTCACCTAGCCCTTCCTGGGGAACTGTCCTCAGCCCTCAGGCAGGGCTTTGGCATAAAGCCACGCCCTCAACCTCGGATCCCTAGCCTATTCAGCGCCAGTCCCCTTTGCCCCTCTCCCCAACTGGGCCAGGCCCCCCACAGGCCTTCGTGTGTGGCTGAATGTTTGATGCATGAGGAATTGGGAACTGCCCAGAGAAGGACACCACTGTCCTAGGTCTCTGTCCCCACTGCTGGAAGGTGCGGTTGGTGTCAATGGCAGTCTAGCTCACATTCCAAATACACCAAATGTCACTGATCCTGGTTTCCTTGTTCTCATCCAAGGGGCTGACAAGATGGCTTCTGTGTCAATGACCAGCTGGTGGTGGCCCTGGAGTGACCCATACAACAGGCACCTCCTGGACAGTTACTCAGCTGCGGCAGCTCTATAGCCCACTCAGCTGCCTGAGTCCAATTAGCCCATTATGCTGGGGGCGGAGCAGCCTGCTGAAGTCACTAGGAGCACCACCCTCGGAAATGCCAGCTCCTGCCCTGCCCACAGAGGGCAGGCTAGGGCATGGGGACAGGGACCTGAGATCCCCGGAGGCCTGGGTGCCCTGCATTGCTTGAGTCAACTGGCATGTCTGTCCTTCATTCCCCCCACCTCTGCAGCCTCACCCACCGCCCCCGCAAGCCCTCCTGCCACCCAGGATGCCACCTTCTGTTGCCAGGATAGCTCAGAGGAGGAAATGGGCTGGGCAGGGCAGGGCAGGGCAGGCCTGGCCCCCAGTGCTTGCTGAGCAAGGAAGTTCAGGATGTGAAGCTCAACCCAGGCTCTCTATATCTTCATTTATTGCACTTGAACCCTGCTTTTTTCACTGGTCCTTCTGTGCGCCCTCAGACGCACACTGGCATACCGCCCCTCCTGGAGGCTACTGCCCACTACCCACTCTGGCTCCCAGAGACGCTTGGGGGATGTGGCCACTGAGGCCTCTTGGGCCCCGATCTTCCCCACAGGCCCTCATCAGGGCTGAGGGAGGAGCTGCTGCCTTCTGCGGCCCCTGGAGTGAATCATTCATGGTCCACGGGGGCTAGATCCCCCTGGAGTCTGGAGGGCAGTCAGGCCACCAGCCTTGGCTTGCCCCCGTGGGCTCTTTCCCGGGGTTGGTGGGCTTCACTGGCGTTCCCTGAATTCCGGCCTGCTGGAGACGACCCCGAGGCGCTGTTGGCTCCGTTGATGGCGTGGGGGGCATCCCCAGCAGGGGACTTGGGCGGGGTGGGCGGCTTGAGTGCTCTGACGGCCCGGATGAGGCCCATTCGGCGGCGGATGGAGTGGTCCAGGTTGACGGTGCAGCGCAGCAGGCACTGCGCCTCGGCCACCGTGAAGGGGAAGTCGGCGCCCAGGAAGCGCTGAAAGAGCTCCGGGTCGCCGTCCAGGTCGAGCACGTTCTGCAACGCCTTGGTCATGGTATGCAGCTCACTGCTGTTGTCGCAAAACACGTCCCAGAGGCGCGCGCGACCCTCGGGCGCTCCCCCGACCTGCTGCCGGTCCTCCAGGCACTGCAGCACCCAGCTGAGGCGGCAGGGCCACTGGTTGGCGAGCACCACCCACGCCACTGCCTGGCGCGGCGTGGGGCCCCCGCAGTTCGCCTGCTGCTGCTGCTGCTGCAGCAGCCGCACGGTGATGGGCACGGTGTTGACGATGCGCCGCATGGACACCACGTTGTCGGGCACGTATTCGTACAGACAGTCGTGCTCGTCGTGCAGGCAGAAGAGCGCCTCCTGGATGCGGCGCGCCGCCTCGGCGTCGATGCGGCCCTGCTCGCGCTCGGCGCCCGCCTGCGTCTCCACGGCCAGAAGCTGCACGCCCTCGCTGCCTTCGCCGGCGGGCGGCCGCAGCTTGCGCGTGATCTCGCGGAAGAGCAGGTCGTCGCGGCTCTGCACCGCATCGTGCAGGAACTGCAGCTTGGTGCGGCGGCCCATGATGGGCACCGAGAAGGGCAGCGTGACTGTGCGGTTGAGGAAGAGGTAGCCGTTGTCGGCCGTGCCCTTCATGTTGCCCGCGCTCTCGAGGCACGCGGCCAGGATGCTGGGGTCCACGACCAGGATAAAGATGAAGGGCGCGTGGCTATCAGACAGCAGCGTGTTGATGGCGTTGAGCACGCCCACCACGCGCTCGGGGTAGCACGTGTCCAGCCCGGTGACCTCGAGCACGACGCGCAGCCGGCGCCGCTGGTAGATCTCCAGGAAGCACAGGAAGTCGGTGAGCAGCTCCACCTCCTTCTTCACCTCGCACATGAAGCCCAGCTGGCTGCCGAACTTCTCCCGCGACACCAGCCGCTCGATCTTCTTGCGTTGGCTCACGAACATGTGCTTGCCCACCGAGTACACGGCCATGAGCAGCCCCGAGCCCGACAGTGTGGTGGCCGCGCCGCCGAACACCTTGAGCACGCTGCCGCTCGCACTGCCGTGGCCCAGCGCGTGGCCGCCCAGGGACAGGTAGAGCAGGCCCACGCCCAGGCAGAGCGCCGCCAGCAGCGCCAGCAGCGCCAGGAACACGCGGCGCCGGCAGTGCCACTCGCGGTGGCAGCAGCCCGACGTCGTGGCCGGCTTGTTGCCCAGCACCGAGTACACGCTGAAGGGCAGCGCGCCGTAGCGGTGGCGGATGCCTTCGCACAGCGTGGTCACCAGGCCGGCCCACAGCTTGTCCGAGCCGGCGTACTGCCAGGCGCTGAAGCGGATGAAGAGAAACTGCACGTTCTTGCGCCGCAGGTGCAGCTCGGTGATGATGGGCTGCAGGAACACCAGGTACCACAGCAGCCGCGGGAAGCCCCAGCCGCGCACCGGCCGCGGCCGCCACTGCACGCGCTGCAGCTCCTCGGCCTCGCGCTGCGCCGCCTCCTGCTGCATCAGCACTGCGGAGCGGGACGCCAGTAAGTGGTAGATTGGCGACGGGGGCGGGGCAGGCTGGGGAGGGGGCTGCACCGGGGACGCGGGGACCGGGGGGCGGGACTTGGACTGAAGAACAGAGTCACGGAGAGGCCTGGACCTGGCTTGCACCAAAGGCGGCCAAGGGCAGAAGCAAAGCCTTCAGGAGAGTGGATGGGAGGAAGTGAGGAGAGCCAGGACCCGGCAAGAGGTGGGCGGCCCTTCTGGGGGTCCTGAAAAGGCTCTAAAAGGGCTGCCCAGGGACAGAAGGAACGACTGACTGACGCCCTGGGGAAGAGAATGGGAAGCAGTAGGGACAGTCTCCTTTCACTGTCCTGTTCCTCCTCCAAGGGGCCTCAGCCCTGGCTCCTCCAGGGAGCTCCTGACCCCAGGCTGGGTTAGGGTCATCTCTGTCCCCTGCTGGACTCTGAGGGCAAGGCCCTGATTATCTTGGTCACCACTGTGTCCCTTGGGCACAAGATGGTGCTGGGAAACCTTCCACTGTGCCTTCAATGAACATCCGTCTGCTGGGTGTCCTAGGAGTGAGCACCAGGGCACAGGGACAGCAGGGCTGGCAGGAAGCTGCCACTTCAGTGAGGAGCTGGGTTTTCTCTCTAGGGTGCTGGGGAGCAAGGGAGGCTCCAGGGCAGGGGGGCCAGTTTGTATTTTAGGAGTGGATTTGTTGGGCAGGAGGGGAAGCCAGGGAGGACAGTAGGCAGGGACCAGGGCAGAGGCTATGGGCATGGGAGCGATCACTGCTAAGTTATGGGTGGCCACCCGGGGCAGGCTGATCTCACAGGTGAGTGGACCTTGGGGCAGCCTCGAACTAGGCAGAGGCCAGAGGCTTGGCTTCCTAACTCCCGCCCCACCCCCGGCCCAGTCCTCACTGGTGATTTTGTCCAGCATCATGTGCAGCCGGCAGCCAAAGGGGGCGTAGAAACCCACAGTCACAGGGACGGGCACGTGGCAGAGAGTCTTGGCCAGGCAGCTGCAGTAGACGTCATCCTCTGTCAGGATGTCTGGGGGTCAGGTGGGGAAACTGAGTCAATGAGGCTGGCCCGGCACCACCCTCCCACCTCCCAGCTGTCCTTTGAAGCCTCACCTTTGGCCCTCCCTGCATGAGCAGCCCCTCCCTGATTCCCCAAGTGATCCAAGTCAGCTGCTACAATGGAGGTCTCTGGGGTCACCGGAGCCTCCACCTCCAGTGACAGATGTGCTGTTTGGAGGATCTGACCCTGGACCCATCAGGCTGAGGCTGAGAAGCTGGACTCTCTCAGCCCCAGACCAGAGGCTTGTGGGAGTCTGGCTGTCCTAAGCTTCCGTTATCAGGCTTGCTGGACCCAGCTCATGGCTGCCCTCGGAGGATTCCATGGATCTGTCACAGGACATGAGGTCCTCGGAGGCTAAGACACGGCTTTCCAGCCTCCAAAGTCCCTGATGCAGGTTGGCTTCTGCCCACTGTTAGCCTGGCACCAGGGTGGGTGGGTCCAGGGGACTACAGGTTCCTCTCCGCTTCCTGCCTACCCTTTACCCGGACCTCTCCCCTCTCCAGGACCCTATGCCCACAAGTCACCTAATCCCACCTGATCAGGCTTAGGAAAGAGGTGCCTGAGCAGGGTTCTGGTCCTGGCTCCTCGTTCTCAGCAGGACCGTAGAAGTGGGGCCCCTGAGAGGAGGAGTGCCAGGGAGTGTGGGAGCCAAAGGGTCTGGCCAGGTCCTTGGTCCCTGCTAGGTTTTTGGCCAATGCCACTGTCTGGAATGGTCATTTAGCACGCAGAATCCTGGCCACCAAGCACCACCACAACCCTGTCCAACCCCTCAAGCCTTACTTCTTGGACCTAGAATTGGAGCACCAACATGGGGCTCCTGTGGGCAGTGTCCCACCCACTTCCTGAGCCACCTGGTGGGCTGCAGGAGATGGGCCTCGCCTAGTGGCAGAGCCAGGAGGGCAGCAGGAAGCCTCAGAACAAGGTTGGCTGAGGTGGCGGTGGCCAGGGCACACCTGGTCCAGTTCTCCCTAATCAATGGGTGACCTCACCTCACTCAGCCTCTATTTTCCTGTGTGTGAAATGGGCATCCTGGCCCCAAGGCTCCAGTGACAAGGTTGGGCCCAAACGAGACCTGAGTTCTTGTTCATCTTCTATTGAACCAGAGTGACTGTGTCCCCAACTCTGCTGCCAGGCCACCAGCACACCAGCACCTCCCGCCCACTCTTGCAGCCCCGAGGCACCTGCCACCCTCCCATGCAGCCCATTGTCCTGATGGGTCCTGAGTCAGCTCCTATCCCTCCAAAGCTGCCTGTGGCTCCTGCCTCACTGGGGAAAGCCAGAGTGAAGCACTGGTCTCCTTCTGTCCCTGGAACAGGTACCCCAGGGCCTGGGCCTTGGTCGACCCTGCTGCACCAGTTCTGCTCAGATGCCTCCTAATGAGGCCCAGCCTCGGTGGCCTGTGTCCTCTGCAGACCCATCGCCCCTCCTCTCCCTGCTTCGTTTCTCTTTCATGTGGTGTCACCAGTGACAGGCTTTTTTTTTTTTTTTCCTGTGCCTCCCTCCTCCTCCAGTAGAACAGGCTCCATGAAGACACCCCTCGCCCGCTCCCTGCGCTCCATACCTGGCGGGGACCAGCTGGGTCCCGCCCCCCTCACTCCCCACCTCCTGCTGCAGCTCCACATGACCCCCTCCAGAGCTGGCCAACAAGCTGCCATGTCACTGTTACCCCCTGCCCCATGTCCCCCGTGGCCTCCTGGGCCAGCGGAGAGGGTGCCAGGCAGAGAAAGCAGAGCCAGGGGTCAGCAGAGGGAGAGGGAGAGAGACCTTGCTGCCCACCAGGACCGACACCGCGCACCCGACAGGCCAGGCAGAGGCAGCCACCTGCGGCCCGGGGCAGAGATGATGCCCCTTCTGCCAGGGCCAGAATGTGGGGGGAGGACAGTCAGAGCTAGCCAGGGAGCAGGAGGCCCAGGCAAGAAGGGAGGCAGGGACGGGAGGGGCCGGAGGCCTGGCTGAGCACCGGAGCCGTAGGTGAAGGAGCCGCAGGCGGCGGGCGCCGGTAGGGGCCGGGTCTCGGTGGGCTCGCTGGGCTCCAGGAGGGTGCGGGCTGCGGAGGGCAGGGCTGGGCCGCTGCTGGCCGAGGCGCGGGCTGCGGAGGGCGCTGCGGCGGGCGCAGGGGGCGGCTGCGGGGCGCCGGCTGGTCTCAAGGGGGCAGCGGCGGTTGGAGGCAGCCCCTTCTGCGCCCCATGAACAGGGCAAAGGCGCTGGCGCAGGGGGCCGGGAGGCGGGGGCTGGGGCTGCCGCTGCTGCAGGAGGCGGGGCTGGGGGCCCTGGCGCCGGCCACTGCCACCCCCTCGGTGGATGTAGTAGGCCTGCTGCCAGTGTGACCGGGGGCACGGCCGACCGGGCCCATGGGCTTGAGGGGCCGCTGGGTCCTGGCACCACTGCTGACAGCATCCTAGAAGGAAGGAAGTGGGGTGGTGCGCCCGACTCCCTGACCCTGGGTGACTCCCTGACCCAGGTGCCGGCTGGGAGGGGGTCGGTCTTGAGGGAGAGCGCCAGGGGCCCCAGACCAGAGACCTCGAGGAGGGGGTGTGGGGGGCCAGCTAGGAGGCTGGGGCATGGGGGTCAGGGCTGGCGGGGTGACACCCCGGATTCCTGCTGCCATAAATCCTGGGCCTTAAGGAGTCCTCCAGGCAGGGCTCATTGGGAGTGCTGGGGGGACCCCACTGGGGGTGGCCTGGTGGTGGCCACTGAGAGGGGCTAGACCAGGGCCAGGAAAGGGGGCTGGGCGGTGTTCCAGGCTCAGGCAGTGCTGGCCAGGGAGGCTGAAGCAGCTCTGATGGGAGGTAACCGTCCCCTCCCACCCTGGCAGGAGCACCTGCCGTCACCACTGGATGCTGAGTCCCCACCATGCAGAACAATAGATTGGGGCTCCCCCTCCCGACGTCTCCCCACAGCTAGCCCCCAGATTGGCTCTGTCCCTTGGAGCCTGGAGATATAAGGAGGGTCTCCCCTGCTCCTAGCGTAGGTTCCCACCCTTGGCCCCATCACCCCTGCCGTACCCCCCAGGCCCCACGAAACTGAAGCCTCTACAGACCCAGGCTCAAGGTCAAGCCTGTAGTCCCAGATCCTGGGGAGGCTGAGGCAGGAGGATCGCTTGAGCCTAGGAGCTGGAGAGCAGCCTGGGCACCACAGCGCACCCCATCGTCTCCAACACACAGCAAAGAGCCTCTCCCGGGTGCCGGCGGTGCTCCCCCTGGGGCCTGAGTTCTCTTTCCGCTTGACCATCCACTCAGGGCCAGTCCCCCCATGCCCCCACCTGAATCCTTACCTTTTTGGTGACCCACCTCTGGATCCAAGAAGTAGCGCTCACTGGGGCTCTGGCCACTCTTGGTGGAGTGGACCTTGTAGTGTTTGCTCATGGCAGGCCGAGACATTGGGGGCCTGCTCCTGGGCAGAAGGGACACCACAGGCTCAGTGCCCAGCACCCTGAGTGGCGGAGAGCTGAGGTTGCCATCCCAGCCCTGGCCCGGGACGGCTGCGTGTGATGGCCAGGTGAGAGGCTGGTCCTGTTCCTGGTCCCTGGGCCGTGGGCAGGGGCAGCACTCCTCGGGGCATGAGGGATGGGCACGGCCACCAGGCCACCTGGGTTGACGGGGTGCCGAGCAGAGGCGGGCTGGGGCAGCAGGGTTGCCCACAGAGGGAACAAAGGCTGGGGCTGGGGAGGCTGATGCGGCTTGAGTTGGGGGGCGGCCAAGGCTCTAAGGGCAGCAGATTCCACAGCTGGGTACAGTGGGGGTTGAATGAGGGGATGGGAAATACGGGGGGCTAAATAGCGCTGATCCAGTTTGGGGAGACTAGGCAGAGCCGGCCAGGAGGGATGTGTGGCTTTAAGGCATGAAGCGCCCGGGCAGAGCAGGAGGGATGCCGCATGGGGGGCCGTGGCAGGGGAAGCCAGGGACCCAGGGAGCAGAGGCAGTGAGGGTCAGCAGCCAGGTGTGTGGCCCTGCCCACCACCTCCTTTGGTCTGGGGTCCCCAAACATACCTGGAGGTGGCCTTGTGGCCCCAGCTCCCAGCCCGTGGCCTGAGCTGCCGGGCCAGCCCCACGACTGTCGCGCAGGCCCAAGTGGAGCCCTGAGCTGCCCGCCCGCCAGACCGGTTTGCCTGCCTGTCCCCGCCCCTCCTGGCAGCCACCCGTCCTGGTACTCTCTAGGACTGGGAGCCCCATCACTCCCACACTGTCCCCCAGGAGGATGGAGATGGACACCACAGCCCTCACAGGGCCAAGCCACAGGGTCTCCCCAGCCCCGGGGCGCGCCTGCTGGGGCAGAAGCTGGGTCAGGGGTTGTCCTGGGAGAAGGCACGATCCAATTCAGTTGCCAACTCCTCCTTGGCCCAGCTGTGTGACCTTGGGCAAGTGACTTCACTCCTCTGAGCCTTGTCTTCCTCATTACTGAGTGGGCCCAGCTGGCGCCTGTCTCGAGAAGAATCAGGTAGGAGTCCACCTGGTTCAGGGCTGGGCCCTTAGCAAAGGCCCTAGCGCCACGTGTGGGGCACTGGCTGACCCACTTCTCAGCTGCTCCGTACACACCTGCCTTGACAGCCCCACATGCAGGGCATCCTGGGGCTGGGCACACTCAGCTTGTTTCTCCTCACCAGCGCCCGGGGCCTGCTGTGATGCCCACTTCACAGATGAGAAAACTGAGGCCCAAGATGGGCAGCCCCTTGCCCCAGGCCACACGGCAGCATGGCAGGTGGCCTGTGCACCCAGGCTCCCAAGGCTTTGCTGGGCAAGAGTGACAGGAGACTGTGGGGCCCTAGGTCCTCCAGGGACATCTCCCTGAGGTGGCTGGTGCCCAGGGTGATCAGTCACTTCCCTCAGAAGTGGCTGGGGTGGTCTGGTGGGAGGGAGCCGACCGGGCCCTAAAGGGCGCTCCCTCTGGGGTCCTGACTGGGTGACCAGGGGCAGGCCTCCCTCCTGCCGCCTGCTGCTCTCTCCTCTGGCCCTTCGGCCCATTTGGGGAAGGCTTCCTGCCCTGTCTCCCACTCCCCAGGGCTCTGCCCTCCCCTGAAGCCCCTGGATGGCATGTGATGGGCACCTTTACAGGTTAACCTCAGGCCTCGGCAAGGGCAGGGTGGCAGGGTTGGGGGTGAGCCGGGCGGGGTGGGGCCAAAGGGGCCTCTGACCACTCTAGAGATGGAGGCGGCTTTTTAGCAAAGGACTCTTCCTGGTCACAGTGCCGTCCAGCCCCAGCCTGCATCCCTGAGGCCCAGGTGCTCACAGGAGGCGGCTGGTGGTGGAGCCCAGGTCCAGGTGTGTGACACCCCAGATGTGACAAGTGCAAATGGGCACACTCCCTAGGCAGTGCAGAGCAGCCGGGCTGCCATCTCTGGGAGGATCCACGTCAGCCAGGCCAGTGAAGTGCACCCAGGCACTGGGTAGGGACGGGTGAGAGTGCCCGGCTTCCCCTCGCCCGTGCTCTGGACGCCCCCAGCCCTGTTCCGGGAGAGACGGCGTAGTGTGCCCCATTGGGCAGAGGACAGCCCGCATTGCTAGGGAGGCAGCAGGCCCGGGGGCGTGCAGGGAGGGCAGCAAGTCCAGGGGCTCAGCCCTTAGTACAGGCAGACGCGGGCAGAGGGGAGGGTCCCAGAGGTGGAGGAGCTGTCTGCGGCCCAGTGGGACCTGTGACACTGCAGCACTGCTGCCCCCACACCTTCCACTGAACCAAATGCCACATACAGAACTTTATTAACACCTGAGTGACGTCGCGCATGTCCCGCCACCAGTCCTGACCAGTAGGACACCTTGCCTCCAGCGCCCTGAGCTCCCGTTGAGCACGGGACACTCAGAACTGGGGTCCCGGCACTGACCCCAAGACCCCCCCAGGGCAGCCACCCAAGGTCCTGGGCCGAGGTGCCCGCTGTCTCCAGAGTGGGTGAAGGCCAGGGGTGCTCTGCGGCTGGGCAGGGGTGACCGGGTCCTCAAGGTTTCTGGATCACTACCTGGAACTTACCTGGAAGGCAAAGGCCACCTTAGCCGGAGGCTGTGATCTGGGGGAGGCAGAGGGCAGCCAACAGCCCTGACACTCCCGTGCCCTGTGAGGCAGCCTGGGTGGCCCGGGTGGGGCCTTAGTTCACCAGCGAGCAGGTCACAGGGCACGGTGCTCCCGTCCTCCTGGCCCACATCCCAGGGCTGTGTGGGTGACAGGGCAGGGAGGCCTGGCACAGGCCTCTATGGCATGTCCAGCTTCAGCCCTGCCCACCTGGGCCCCATTTCCCCATGAGTGACCTCCAAAACTGGAAGATGGGGAATAACTGGAGGCGGGATGGCGAGGCAGCCTGGCAGCAGCTGCAGGGAAAAGGCTTCAGCTCCTGCTGAGGGGCTCCATCCCAGCAGAACCCGGGCGTCAGGAGACACCTGTTGTGTGGGCTGCAACCGATGCCCATCTCTAAGCCACCCTCCTGCCCCCGTGAGCAGACCAACAAGGAGGACACCTGTCATGTCCCTGGGTTCCGTGTTTGGGAAGAAATGCTCAAGATTACCAAGGGCTTCTCCCAGGGGCTGGGACTTCCCGAGGAGGCAGAGGCCTGGGCCCTCCCAGCACCAGGGCATGGAGGGGCCTGAACAGGTGACTTAGGCTGAGCCCCAAATCCCACATCTGTCAGCAGGGGCCGGGGCCTGTCCTGGCCTCCCCAGTACCCACCGAACAAAGGATGAGGAGAACCCCCCCAACAAGACTCACAGGCGGGCAGGGCTGCCACGGAGGCGGTGACCAGGCTCTGGAAGCCCAGGGTATGGAGGGCGCCACACAGAAGGCCGCAGGTGAAGGCCAGGAACTGGGGCAGGGGACACAGACCATTGTGGGAGGAGGGGAGGCCAGCACCCAGGTCCTGGGCCTGGGATACTCCCTAGGCCTGGGAAAGGGCTGCTAGGAGCAAGGGCGGGTAGACAGGTAAATGAAGGTGACAGTCCCAGCCCCCCATACCTTGGGGGCTTCCTCCAGATACTGCAGGCCTGAGGCCATCGGGACGAGGAGGGGGAAGCTGTTGTCCTGCAAGACATAGGTCCCCTGGGAGCAGGAGAGAAGCTCATGGGCCCAGCCTGTCCACTGGCATTATGTGGAGAGGGAGGCAGGGCCCAGGACGGCTCTGTGGCTGGGAACCCCTCCTGCAGAGCTGTGGGGGGCCAAGGTCTGCCCAGCCTCCAGCCGCATGGCTTCCTGGGAAAGGAACTCCTGCCTCCCAGGTGGCTGGGGGAGCTGGAGACCCTGCCCACCGAAGCTGCTGGGGCTGAGCCCGCACGGGTGTTCAGTGGGAAGGGAGCAGCTGGAGAAGGGCAGTGTGGTGCCAGGCCACCTGCTGCCAACCAGCAGGGCTGCATCCTGGGGGCTGGCGAAGTTCTGGAAATAGCCCTGATGCCCCACCGCAGCCCGGGCCTCCTCAGAGGACCACACAGACCCAGAGAAGAGGTGGCTGCCAGTGGTTCCTCCTGCCTCCGGGCCTTGGGCGGCCCCCACAGGCCCCTCTAGCCTTCCTACCAGGACTCCCCCTCCCAGGCTCCAGCCTCTGCCTTCAGCCAGGCCAGCTGTGCTGGAGGCGCCAGGGAACAGGGCACACACCCACCTGGTGATTGGTGCGAAGGCCATCCATCTGCTTTTGGAACACGGCCACCCACAGGTCTTTGCACAGGAACTTGAGGACATCCAGCTCCTCCCTGAAGGCCGGAGTGTCTCGGGGCAGCCTGGAGGGCAGGGCAGGGCAGGGGAGGACAGGGCAGGGCAGGCTGGGGCCCAAGCTGATGCTAGCAGCAGGTGAGGAAGAGGGATGAAGCAAGGAGCAACTGACCTTGCCCTGGGGCGAGGCTGCCAGAGGACCCAACCTGGGTCCTGCACACCCTCCCGGCCAGGGTAGGGGGGCAGGAAGGCGGGCTCTCACCTCTCACCCAGAGCCTGGCCCACGCGGAACCCCATGCTCTCCAGGACAGACGGGCATGTCTTCTGTCCCTAGAAGGCCAGAGAAGAAAGGTTCAGGGGGCGCTTGGTCACCTCCCAGCAGGAGCCAGCCAGGAGTGGCCACTGCAAGCAGACCCCAAGAGCAGGGCCCCTGTCAGCCCAGGAGGAGGAAGAGGCGGAGGGGGGACTTCCTGCCAGCCTGCCCAGGGTACCGGAGGCCCTGGGGGCCACCTAGCTGGCCAGCCTTGCCCTCTGCCCAAGGCAGCCTGCCGCCCCCAGGAGTCCACGTCTTCCCCAGGCAGGGACGACAACTCCTCGCAGATGGCACCCTCCACACACCTGGAGCTCCAAGGGGGCCTTACAAGATGCGTGAGGAGGACCCCCAGGGGACTTTCCCAAGGGCCCATGTGGCCAAAGCCCTGGGCTGGGCCATCAGAAGGGAGACTGTGAGAGTCACTTAAGACCATCAGGCCTGAAGGAGCCAGCCAAGGTCCCTGGGAGGACATGTGGGGCTCCAGGAGGCAGAGGTGGCCAGGTGAGGACTGAGATGAGAGCGAAGGGGGTGGGGGGCAGCAGGACAGAATGGCTGGGGCTCGTTTTGATTTTTTCCTGAGATGGGATTTTGTGTGTGTGTGTGTTGCTGGGGATTGAACCCAGGGCCTTGTGCATTCATGGAGAGCACTCCAGCCCCCCGAGATGGGATCTTGTTGCACTGCCAGGCTGGCCTTGAACCTCTGGGCAGTCCCCCCTCAGCCTCTCAGGCAGCTGGGATTACAAGCGTGCACTGCCACGCCCAGCCCCTCATTCGAGTTTAATAAGCCCATAAGGCCGGTTGTACTTCATACCTGCAAACGGGCTCCAAAGGGTTAAGACCTGTCCCAGGCCCACTCAGCCACAGGGCTACCAAACCAAGCAGACGGGCTTCCAGCAAGCCCAGATGGGCAGGCAGGATGCCACCCACAGCTGTGCTGCGTCAGGGAGATGGTGAGGCGAGGCCCACCGGGTGGGGAGCACTGGGAATGGGGCCTGAGCAAGGATTATCAGCACAGTGACACGTGGGTCCCTCTTACACTGCCTGTGGCTTCAGCACCCAGGTTTAGATCTGCCCTACACTTACCAGACGTGGGAGCTGGGGCGATGGCCGAGTTCGTGAGCCTCGGTTTCCCCATGTAAGAGGAGGATAAGGCTAATGGCGTCACCTCCTGGGAGCCCCACGAGAAAAGGGATCAGTAAATGCCAGTCAGGTGCTTCAAGGAGGCTAAGTCAACCTCACCAACACCCTGTCCACAGCCTGCCAAGCGAGGTGACAGCACCCTGGCTGGAGAAGAGCCACAAGAAGGAAGGGGCGCTCTCTCTTGGGGTCACCTATGCCAGCACCTAGCAAGGTCTGGCTGTCACTCCCCCGTGGTCTCCCATCCCTTCCACCCCGACAGGGCGGATCTCTGTCCCTGCTCACGAGGACTTCCCAGCAGGAAAACTGAGCTCTCCCCGTGGATCCCTCCATTTCTTGGGTGTCCTCAAGAAGCTGCGACTGGCCAGTGCGCAGGGCAGAGCACAGCCAGCTCCACCGGGAGGGGCAGGGGCAGGCCAAGGGGGCAGCCATTCCCCATGGGCACCTGCAGCCAGCCCAGGGTTAAGGCCACAGGTGCTGCCTGACTGCCACATGCAGGGGTGGCAGACTCAGCCCCTGCCCTGCGGGCCTGGCATCTGGCAGGGAGCACACGAGAGCTGGGAATGCAACAAATAACCCTTAGAAAGACTGTGCTGGGTGACCTCCACCGGGCAGGGGGGACCCCCTGAGGACACCCGACCGGTCTGTACTGTCTACAGCAGGAGGAGTGGGTGGCAGCCAGGACCGCAGCCCCATAAGGTAAGAAGGGCCTGATGGGGCCAGAGAGCCTCCGAGGTCCCCAGCCAGGCCAGGAGGGAAGCCAGAGGGTTGCTGGCAAGTCCAAGTTCTCCTTCCGTGAACTTCAGTTTGTCTGGGTTGGAAATCCTGGCTCCACCACTTACAAGGTGTGAACTGGGGCAGGTTACCTGCTGGCCTGTGCCTCAGTTTCCCCACATGTACAAAAGGACTCATGGAGGTGCCTACTTGCACATGGTGTCACAGATGTTGTCACTGCTGGTCCCACTGTGCCTGGACCAAGACAGGGGCCAATTAAATATCTGCTGACCTGAAAAGACTGGCAGGTAGGGGTATGCGGAAGAAGGGCAAGCATGAGGGGAACAGGAAGTGAGGTCAAGGGGCAGAAAGGGCAGAGGAGGGGACAAGCAGCTAACTGCCTCTGTCACAGCCTGCCTTCCCCGTCTGTCCTCTCACAGAAGGGACAAGGTGGGGACTCTCCCATTCACACAAACGGGCCAGAGCCCGGCCCAGAGTTGGTGCACTTTCTGTTCCTCTCAAACCACTGATGGGAAGGAGGTAATGCCAGGCAGGGGACACAGGCGAAGTCGGGGTAGTACGAGGGCATCCTCAAGCAGCAGGGGAGTTGCTGTGGAGACAGTCCCCTCCAGAGAGGAGCTCTGGAGGCAGCTGTCAAGTTCTCCTTTGGCCCCTGACTGTCCCTGTGTGGCCTCCAGAAGGCCCTTCCCCTCACAAGTCCCAGTCCTGCCTCTGTTCTTCCCCGTCTGCACCTTAAGGCCCCCAAGAGTCCTAAGGCTGCTGTCCAGGCCACTCCCACCAGTTCCATGGGAGGCTCTGGAAAGACCCCAGACTCAAAACCCCAAGGGCCTAGGCAGGGAACCGGGCCCAGGAGTCCCGGGAAAGGTCAAGTGCCCTGATAACCGGGGGTGAGTCAAGCTGAGTACAGCAGTGTTTCCCACACTTGTCTGACCACAGAACCCATTCTCGCACAGGCGAGAGTTATGGCTTGGTGCAAGCTTGAGGAGAGGGAGCCTGGCTCCTTGCCCAGCTCCACCCTGGAGAGCAAGAAACTCCCTCCCCTCAGCTCAGGTGCTTCACCTACAGAGGGAGGGTCAGGTGGAGCACGGGAGGTGGGTGATGAGGAGCTAGTGCAACCAGGTCTGTGATGCCCAGGGCGGCATGTGCGACACTCCTGCGGCAAGAGCCATGATGGGTTACAATGCTCAAAGGATCCAGGCCCGCTACCCCCTCCACAGCACTGGTCTGCATTCACTTCTATGATAATCCATACTGAGGACCCACTATGTGATCCACACAGACCCATCCCAGCTCATGTGGGGCACACAGTCTGGCACAGAAGCACAATTCAGATACAACCTTTCTGAGTGTGATGAAGCCAACCAGAGAGTGAGGAGGGGGCCCAGAATGTGTGAAGGAGACAAAAACTCACCTGGAGGCTCAGGGAAGGCTTCCCTGAGGAGGAGCATTTGAAGGAAGATCTGACAGATTAATAGGTGTTAACTGAGAAGTAAGCAAAAGGGGAGTAGGGCAGTCCCACAGGGGCAGAGAGGAGGGAGCCTGGGCCAGGGCAAGGGAGTGGACAGACAGAAGGGAAACACAACCAGGGCCTGGTAGAGGGCTGGAGGCAGGGAGAAATGGCAGGGGTCAGGGCCCTGGATCTCTGGTTTGAAAGCCAGGAAGTGTGGGGTGCTGAGAGGCTGTTAACCCCCTGACCAACTCACCAGCTGCCGTGCGCTGCCAGGCTTTATCTTACAGCAGTTATGCAACCTACCACAGGCTTCACTCATCTCTTTCCATTTCAACAGACACTCCAGGAGCACAAGGATTTTTGTGTGGTTCACTAAGGAATCCCCAGAGCCTACAGAAAGGCATGGTACCTTGGAGGTCTTAGTAAAAAGTCTGACAAATGAATGAATAAACTCAGAAGAAACTACCCTGATAATAACCAGCAACACTCTCCCTGGGACTCCTAATGTGCAAAAGGAAACCTGAGCCAATAAAAATGTCTTGCATAGCCATGCATGGTGCCCACACCTGTAGTCCCAGCTACTCAGGAGGCTGAGGCAAGTGGCAGGTTCTAGGCCAACTGGGCAATTTTAGGGAGAATCTGAGACCCTAAGTTCCATCCTCAATACTACAATAAATACATTCTTGCATGTGGTGATGACCATGATCACAAAACAATAGTGAAAAAGAGTGACCACCACCCCAATTATTAAGCACCTACACTCCGTGAAGCTCCATTTTTTCTCAATTACTGATTTCTTCTTCTTCTTTTTTTTTTTTTTTTTTGATGGTGCTGCAAATAAAACCTCAGTACAGTGCAAGCAAGGCAAGCCATATCCTCAGCCTCCCCCAACAGATTTACAGCAAAAGCTCTCATGTTTCATAGACTATGTGCTAGACATCATATTGAATGCTTTAAAGTTTTGCCAGGCGTAGTGGTGCACACCTGTAATCCCGCAGCTCAGGAGGCTGAGGCAGGGGGATCAAAAGTTCAAAGCCAGTCTCTTAATGAGACCCTATCTCAAAAATAAAATTTTAAAAAAATTAAAAAGCCGGGGGTGTAGCTCAGTGGTAAGGCACCCCTGGGTTCAATCCCCAGTACCAAAAAAAAAAAAAAAAAAAAGGTTTTAATTCATTTAGTCTTCACAAGGACTAACTTCCAAAATGTCAAACGTGCTTCCTCTTTGGAGCTTCGCTCCTCCTTTCCTTCCTGGACTGATCTTACCAACCCACCCCCCCACCCCCACCCCGCTAATTCCCCAGATTTGGTGCCTCCTCCCTTCCCTTCTTCAGGCTAGCCCCCATCATCCACCACGCACCTCTCTTCCTTCCTGGACTCTCCTGAAGTTTTCTTTATAGTACTTCTCAACAGCTAATGGCACGTTTTATTATTTGATTCCTCTACTAAAACCTAAGTTTCATGAAGATTGGCATTTTGATTTAGTGCTTGTGGAGTGAATAAATGTCCCTCCTACTCTGTGACTTAGATATTGCTGGAGGCTCATGGTGCAAAGGAAGAAACTGAGGAACAAAAAGATTAAGTCACTGGACTGCATGCCTGGGGAGGGGTGGAGGCGAGTCCTCACCCTCGGTACACGCCCAATAACAATTATTATAATTGCTAACCGCTTACTCTATGCCAGACCTTGAAGTAAGTGCTTTACCCTGAGTCATCTGGTTCACTTCTACCAATAACCCGCGAGGGAGGCACCGTCGCGACCCCCCACAACCCAAAGCCTGCCCCGAAGCAGGGGCGGGGCCAGAGGTTCGAACTCGGCGGCAGACACCGAAGGCACGCGCCCTCCGTGCGCCCCGAGGCCTGCACACCGTCTTCCCGTCGCGGTCGGCGTCTCCTCCCCCAAGACCCCGCGCTCACCCCCGAGCCTGGGTCGGGGTCGGGAGTCCAGAGCTCCGCCACCATCTCGGTGTGCAGAAATTCAAACAACACTGCATCCGCCATGCGTCAGCCTCGCGCGCCCAACTACCACCAGCAACTCCAGCTCTTATTGGCCGGACTGGGCAAGCCTCGCCTCCCTCGTTCCGATAGATCCCGCCCACCGCATTCCCATTGGTGCTTTAGGCTGGCCCCGCCTTCCCGCGGCGGGCTCACGCGAGGAGCGCGTGAGCGGCGAGACGTGGGGCGGCGTGGCTTTGCCTCTCATTGGCCACACGTGATACCATCTTCCGCCTTTATTTGGACTCCTGCCCTTGTTCCATTGGCCGAATGCCGGATTGCACGTGACATTTTTGTTTTTTAAAAAAGCCCTATTTGTCCGCTCTAGGCTTTCCTCGAAGCACAACACGGAAGAGCCTGTGCGACCGCTCCCTATTGGTCGTGCCTTCGTTCACGTGACTCTGCTGCGCACACGCCCTCAAAGATGGTGCTGGGAACTGGTTTCCTGGTTGGTAGAGAACGACCCCTCGTGACTTGGCCGTCAAATGCCCGCCCAACCCACTCTCTTATTGGTCGGGACTTTAGCCCTCTGTGACGCCGCACTTCCGCCCGATAGGGGATCCAGCGGGCTCGGAGCTCCGGTGACCTGGTATGGCTTTGGGCGATTGTGCTGACCCTTCACCCCCTCCTCGGGTTAGTGTACCGATCCCAGTCCTCTGGACTACCCCCATTGTTTGACTGTCACTGGTTCCTCAGCGACTCATGAGCCCGCGTGCCTTCGGGTCTGAGGCCTGAAGGATTGGAGGCGAATTCCGGAAGAACTGTTTAGAACTCTAGGAACCGGCCCTAGAGCCTTAATCGAGCTCGGCCTCAGTTTCCCATCTGTACACTGAAGAGGTTGGGGTCCGTTGCCCCCGTCACCTTCCAGGTAACGGAAGAGGAAACTGAGGCCGCGACAAAGGAAGCATTTGTCCCTAAATCATTAGGAGAACCAGCAGAGGGACTAGGATTCCAGGTTATGCCCTTTTCACGCAGGGGTGCCTCTCACGCGGTGTCTTCGCTTCTCTTTCCTAGCGCCGCGCCATGGCATCCCAGGGTCGTCGGCGGAGGCCAGGGACCGTGGTTCCTGGGGAGGCGGCTGAGACGGACTCGGAGCTCTCTGCGTCCTCGTCGGAGGAGGAGTTGTACCTGGGCCCCTCCGGCCCGTCGCGCGGCCGACCCACGGGGCTGAAGGTAGCCGGGGAGGCTGCAGAGACCGACTCGGACCCGGAGCCGGAGCCTACTGCCGCGCCGAGGGACCTGCCTCCGCTTGTGGTGCAGCGGGACTCGGCAGGGGAGGCCTGGGCCGCCGAGGAAGCCCCGGCCCCCGCCCCCGCGCGCTCGCTGCTACAGCAGCGGCTGGCCGAGAGCCAAGCGCGGCTGGACCACGATGTGGCCGCTGCTGTGAGCGGCGTGTACCGCCGTGCGGGCAGGGACGTGGCCGCCTTGGCTGGGAGACTGGCAGCCGCTCAGGCGACAGGGTTGGCGGCAGCCCACAGCGTGCGTCTGGCGCGCGGAGACCTCTGCGCCCTAGCTGAGCGTTTGGACATCGTGGCTAGCTGCTGTCTGCTGCCGGACATCCGCGGTGTGCCGGGAAGCGAGCCCGAGCAAGACCCGGGACCTCGGGCCTGAGACTCGACTTCCCCACCTGACTGCCTCTTGGGGGTAGGCTTGGCAGCTTTTGTGACATGGCTGTGTCCCAGTACCCTTTGTCTTCCTTTCCGCATCCTAGTGTTACCTAGGGCTAAACCTACCCTCGCTGGATAACGCCCTGGTTTTGCCTCATGGCCCTGACCCTGGCCTCTGGTAAATAGCTGCTCTGTGGTGGTCTATTTCCACCCTGTCTCCTGGCTCCTCCTCCTCCTCGGGCTTGGCCCCACCCCTTCAGCCCGATCTCCAGAGTCCAGCAAGAGTCCAGCCATACCCTTAGGATAGGTTTTGTTTCCTGTTGTTTTTCCTGTTCTGCTTACATTACTTACCTGGTCCTGGAGTTCATGTACTGACTAGTTTCCTTCCTCAGGCCCAAAATGATGCCCCCTCCTGACCCAAAGGGATCCTCCTGTACCAGATCCCCTGGCACGTGGCATCTCCTCCAGACCCAGGTACTCTAGGCCAAGGTGGTGCCCCCTCCTAACTGTCTAGACCTGAAGTGACACCCTTCAGGCACTTGGGCCCAGTTCAGCCCACTGTGGTGCTTTTGGTGCAGCAGGGTCCCACTTTTCGCAGGTGTGCTCTCTGTTGGTCCCTGGGTGCTGAAAGGCTGTGGATTTCTGGCCCAGCTCCTGGGCTGGGGTAGCAGCCTCTGTGTGCACAGTCTGCTTCCTCTTTCAGGCCTGCCTTTGTCCTCAGCACAGTCACATTTACACCCTTCCCCGCAGCAGTACTCCAAGATCTGAGCCCCAGGATGGAAAGGTGAGGAAGAGCTCTCTGTGGTGGACTCATTAAAATCCAAAACATTTCCCAACTTGCTCAGTTTCTCTTCCCCACACCCCCAGTACGGGCTGGGTGAGTTGGTGATTTCTCTGAGTTGAGGACCCCTCTCTAGCCTATTGAAGGTGAAACTGTAATTGGATTTTTCCCTGATTTTGCATTTATTTGTATTTAATTAATTCAACATACACTTTGGGGTTCCTGTGCTGGGGGTTGCAACAAGCAGTCCCTGACAATATGGGAGACTTACAATATTCTATAAATAACTGGAGGAACCATAACTTATTGTTCAGTTTTTGTTTTTTTTTTTCCCCCCTGGCATGCTTAGAGCTCTAAAGAAAGAGCAGTGTGGTAAAGGTTTGCTGGCCTCTGCGCAACCTGGTCTGGGGAGGAGTGGTCATTTAGCTTCTCAGAGGAAGTGACCTTGATGTCTGAGCTGAGCCCTGGAGGTGTCCATAAGTGACCTGGGAGTAGAATGGAGAGGAATGCAGACAGCATGTGCAGAGCCCTGAGTCAAAAGGGGTGTGTTAACTTTCCTACACTGACAAAATCCCCAAGACCATCAACCTGAGATAAGGAGGATAGGTTTGTTTTGATTAGAGATTCAGAGATTCCAGTCCAAGGCTGCTAGGCCTATTGCCTTGGGCCTGTTGCAAGGTACATCACATGGGGGAGCGCCTGGGGAAGGGAACTGCTGAATTCAGCTCACCACCACACCCTGCCAGTGGGAGATCCTTGAACCCAAAGGCTTCCATGGGGCTTTAAAGAGCCTAGCTATCTGGATATGGTGGTGCACACCTATAACCCCAGCTACTTGGGAGGCTGAGGCAGGAGGATCACAAGTTTGAGGCCAACCTGGAAAATTTGGTAAGACCCTATTTCAAAAAAATAAAAAGGACTGGGGATGGCTCAGTGGTAGAGCACCCAAGGGTTCCATCCCCAATATTAAAAAAAAAAAAAAATCTGATCTATAGCACCTACTGAGGTATTAGAGGGAAGAGAGGGGGTGTAGAGGTGAATGCAGCACCAGCAAGAGCCAGGAAGGTAGGCTTCTAAGCCAGGCAGGAATTATTGCTCTTCACTTAGCAACCAGTAAGCAGAGAAGGACAGAGAATCAACCAGCATCCTCAGCCAAGCTCAGAAGAGAAGGGGCAGTCGATTTCCTGAGCTAGAAGTGCAGAGGTAGCTCAGCTCACACTTATCCTGACAGCATTTGTCAATACTGAGACCCAGGCTCTTGGATTACCATAGCTTCCGGGCTTGCTGTTTGAAGAAAGAAAGGAAGGATTTACCCTTTCAGAATGGTCCAGAAAACTGCATTTATAAAGCATCTCTGGCTCAAACTAGGGAGTCAACACTCAGCTCAGACTGTGTAGCAGCAAAAGGACAGTTGGTTTTCAGCTCAGCCGGAACCTGCAGGAGGATAGGATGGTGAATGAGCAGGGCTGTGAGCTATGTCCTTGGATTTATCCTTGGAGAGATGGCCAAAGACTGAATCAGGAATAACACAAGATGCTGAGAAATTCCTGGGGAGACAGAGGGACTCTCCCATACAGTATTCTAATTTTTATTGCTTTGTAACAAATGCCCCAAAACTTAAAGGCTTAAACAATTGTTCTGTTACACCCAAAGATTCTGTGGGTTTGGGGCTGGGTGTGGTGGTGCAGTCCTGTGACCTCAGTTACTCAGGAGGCTGAGGCAGGAGGATCACAAGTTTGAGGTCAGCCTCAGCAACTTAGACCTTGTAAAAAAAAAAAAAAAGGGCTGGGGATGTAGCTTGATAATAAGAGTGCTTCCCTGTGACGTGTGAGGTCCTGGGTTCAGCACCACACAAGAAAAAAAATATATCCGTGGGTTAAGAATTGCAGCAGGGCCCAGCTGGAGGGTCTCCTGCTTCGAGGAGGAAGGGCCAGGCAGACTCTCCCACGGCCGATGCTGTAGAGGTCGTGTTAGACTGTGGTAGTCACCTAGTGCGTGGATTGGCCTGCAGAATCCCAGGCAGTGGCACTTGGTAGCTGGGCTGGACTAACTCGAAGAGTAGGCCATTGACTCAAGTGTCTGCACGTGGTCCGTGGTCCTGGCTGTTTGGCTTGGGCTCTTCATGAGAGGCTTGGGCGGCCTCACCTGGCTGCTGGGAACCATCCCTCGGCGAGCTCAGGGCTCCACAGTTGTTTACCTGGCCAACCAAGCAGATGTGGCCATTTCTGACCTAGATTCCAGAGTCCTGCAGCTGCACTGAATTCTATTCGTTGGGAAGTCACTTAGTTCACCCAAGATCCAAGGACAGCTCTTAATGGGAGTCAGAACTGAGAGACTGTTCATCAACAATGGAGCAAAGGAAACAGCCCAAGTCCGGCTCTCTTGGACCGGGTTCTGGTTGTCGAGAAGGTGCCTGAAGGAACATTGATGTCCAGGTCGGGTCTCCCAGGGAAAGAAGTGATTATGGGTGGGCCGGGAAGAGGGGTGTTTGTGATGAGGAAGACGGCTGAAGAGATGACCCCCGAACAGGATTAGCTCACAGTGGGAGGGAGAACCACGGGGAAGTACCAGGAGATGGGCTTCCTGACACAGACGGGAAATACGGAGGGGGGGGGGGCGTTTCCCAGGTACCAGCAAGGAAGCCACTGTGGTCTGAACAGGGTTTTGGAGGGGAGTTCGCAGAGGCCTGGAGCATAAAGGACCCTGGGGAGGCCCTGGGGTCCTGTTCTGAGTGGATGGCAAAGCCACAGATCTGTGTTCCAGCAGAGAAGCGACTTGGCTTTGCATCTGAAAGGAACTTTCTGGCATCTGTAGACCAAAACCAGGAGACTTTCCGCCAGCTGCTAATATCTTATGCTGCAAATCATGTCTCCATTGAGAGCCTTCACCTCTGCTGTTGCCGAGGGAAAAGAGCCCTGGATGACAGAAATCAATGAGCACGGGTGTGTGACCTAGCCAGGCCTACTTGGCATACCGTACAGGAGGCCAATCACGAGTTTTGCAGAGGAGTTTATTCACAAGGCAGCCACATGTGGAGACTGGAGAGGACATCTCAAATCTGCCTCCCTGAGGATAAGGTTTGAGAACATCTATGGGAAAGGCAATTAGAGGTGAGGAAGCAATCCGCAGTTCGCTCATGCGCCATCAGATTTCATCAGCCATCACCACCATGGCCCGCATGGGAGAGGAGTTTTCTAGACTCTAAAATTGGTAAATTAATTTTTTAATTTTTTTTGGTACTAGGGGTTCAACCCAAGGTTGCTTTACCACTGAGCCACATCCCCAGCCCTTTTTATGTTTTTTAAATTTTATTTATTTTTTAAATGTTTAAATTTATTTAATTTTTAAATGTTTTGCTTATTTTTTTTTTTTTATGTGATGTTGAGGATGGAACCCAGCACCTCACAAGTTCGAGGGAAGCACTCTATCACTGAGCCACATCCCCAGCCCCTTTTTTAGTTTTTATTTTGAGACAAGGTCTCGATAAGTTGCCCAGGCTGGCCTCAAACTTGGGATCCTCCTGCCTCAGCCTCCCTGTTGCAGCTGGGATTACAAGTGTGCACCACCCTGCCCAGCTTAAAATGGATAATTTTTTTTGCCAGGCATGGTGGTACACACCTGTAATCCCAGGGGCTTAGAAGCCTGAGGCAGGAGGATTGCAAGTTTAAGGCCAGCTTCAGCAATTTAGAAAGGCCCTAAGCAACTCAGTGAGATCCTGTGGGTGTGGCTCAGTGGCTGAGTACCCCTGCCTTCAATCCCTAGTGCCAAAAAAAGGAATTTTTAAAGTTAGTGAAGTGAATAAGAGCAGGTGAAATGACTGAAGTGTAGAGGGTTGGTTCAGGAATGTTTTAATAAAACTTCATTTTCAGAAACAAGCAGTGGCTATATTTAACCCTGTGCTACCCACAGAATAGAGGACCAAAATAGAAGGCAGACAGACTAATTTGAGGACCCTGTAATAAAACTGACCAAGAGGCAATGGCCACCTGGACCAGGTGCAGCTGCGGAGGGGAGGGGCCGCCTTGGAAGGGCACCAGGAAGGCAGAGCTCTCAGGACTCACAGGTGAAGCAGCTTGTCCTGGGGAAGCACAACTGTCTACTGGGAGCAGGTTGGGGGCGGAGGGGAGATTACAGATCACAAAGAGAAGAATCTAGATGTATTAATCTTGGAAATCTATTAGATATCTACTAAGTACATCAGATGTAGGACCTGGAGCTCAAGAGAGATTGGTTTTGCAGAAGCACGTTTCCGAGTCTTCCTTTTTGTAGATGGCCCCTTAACCATGGGGTGAGGCTTGGGGGTAGTTCAGTGGAAGAGCACTCGGTCACATGCACAAGGCCCTGGGTTCAATCCCTACTGCCACAATAAAGGGCGGGATGGATGAGGTTCTCTAGGGGTGGGTAGAGATAGAAAAGAAAGTAGGTCTGAGGGCAATTTTACAGATGGGTCTCCCAAAGCTCCCAGGATAGTGAAGTTGAAGTCTTAGGTTCACTGTTTCAGGGAATGGAAAGGAGACACATGCTCAGTGTATGAGATTAGCATGCCTTTGTGTCCAAATAAGAATTTATAGGCCGCCAAGTATGGTGATGCACACCTGTAATCCCAGCAACTCTGGAGGCTAACGTAGGAGGATCCCAAGTTTGAGGTCAGCCTCAGCAATTTAGCAAGACCCTGCCTCAAAAAGGGCTAGGCTTGGAGCTCAGTCGCAATGTGTTCCAGTCCAATCCCCAGTATCACATGCACAAAAAAAAGAATTTATAGGCTGGCCTCATGGGTAAAGAAGTAGAAAAGACAGAAAAATCTTAATATATCAATGAAGAAAATCTAGAATTTATATGGATCAAGCTATATTTACCCTAGAAATGCAAAAGGGTTCAAATATTATTCTATTAATATAATTTACCACATTTATAGATTAAAGAAGAAAGAATCCAAGATCATATATGACAAGAAAGCATTTAATGAGGGGCTGGGGATGTGGCTCAAGCGGTAGCGCACTCGCCTGCCATGCGTGCGGCCCGGGTTCGATCCTCAGCACCATGTGCAAACAAAGATGTTGTGTCCACCGAAAACTAAAAAATAAATAAATAAATATTTTTAAAAAAAAGAAAGCATTTAATGAAATGTATCTCATGAATAGAAAGAAATTTTTTTAAAACTTTTTGTTACTGGGGATGGAACCCAGAGTCTTACACTTTCCACCATTGAACTCTGTCGCCAGCCCTCCAAAAAATGTCTTTAAAAGCAGATAGGGCTAGATGGGGACCTCCCTAACCTGATAA